GGTCCAAAGTCATGTTCTCTGATGAAAGTAAATTTTGCATTTCCTTTGGAAATCAAGGTCCCAGAGTCTGGAGGAAAAGAAGAGAGGCACTTCATCCACGTTGCTTGAAGTCCAGTGTAAAGTTTCCACAGTCAGTGATGGTTTGGGGTGCCATGTCATCTGCTGGTGTTGGTCCATTGTGTTTTCTGAGGTCCAGGGTCAACGCAGCCACATACCAGGAAGTTTTAGAGCACTTCATGCTTCCTGCAGCTGACCAACTTTTTGGAGATGCAGATTTCATTTTCCAACAGGACTTGGCACCTGCACACAGTGCCAAAGCTACCAGTACCTGGTTGAAGGACCATGGTATCCCTGTTCTTAATTGGCCAGCAAACTCTCCTGACCTTAACCCCATAGAAAATCTATGGGGTATTGTGAAGAAGAAGATGCAATACACCAGACCCAACAATTCAGAAGAGCTAAAAGCCACTATTAGAGCAACCTGGGCTATCATAACACCTGAGCAGTGCCACAGACTGATCGACTCCATGCCACGCCGCATTGCTGCAGTAATACAGGCCAAAGGAGGCCCAACTAAATACTGAGTGCTGTACATGCTCATACTTTTCATGTTCATACTTTTCAGTTGGCCAACATTTCTATAAATCCTTTGTTTTTATTGGTCTTCAGTAATATTCTAATTTTCTGATATGATGAATTTGAGATTTTCATTCGTTGTCATTTGTAATCATCAAAATTAAACAAAATAAACATCTGAAATATATGAGTTTGTATGTAATGTATGAATATAATATACAAGTTTCACTTTTTAAATGGAATTACTGAAATCAATCTACTTTTTCATGATATTCTAATTTTATGACCAGCACCTGTATTATAAAGTCTACTGCTGGGCAAGGGAGCACCTGGTAATAGCTCAATGGCAGAGTCATATGGTCTGTGAGGTGGAAGAGACGTAGCACTGACCTTGCTGAAGACTGGAGACAGATCATGTTACTCGGAAGGAACAGAAGTAAGGTCAGGAGAGTCCATCTCCCCCCTACCTCTAGGGAACTGAACAGCGGGAGGTGCAGAACGAAGACAAGTCTCATGGCAAGAAGTAGACCAAGACTCAATGTGGCGTTCAGCCCAGTTGATATGGGGGTTATGTCGCTCCAGCCACTCAAAACCAAGCACCAAGGGAGAGCATGCAGAGGGAAAAACAAAAAAGGTTAATGTCTCACGATGATTTCCGGAGATTAACAGCTCTAGAGGTTGTGTTTGATGAGTAACTTGATGGAGTTTCTTTCCATCAATAGCAGAGACACTGAGAGGCTTGGATAACGGAACTGTTTCAATTTGTAACTGCTGGACCAGGTTAGAGTCAATAAGGTTACGCTCACATCCAGAGTCAATGAAAGCAGACAAGGTGAGATTCTGGTTAGAGAGAAAAAGAGTGGCAGGTAGCATCAGATGAAGAGACTTTTCAGTTTTCAAATGGCCCGTCAGACTCCTCAGTTCCTCTGACGGGCCCAGGCTTTTGACTTAGCCGGGCAAGAAGCAATGAAATGACCAGTCTCACCACAATATAGACACAGATTGCCCCTGAAACGTCGATGTCTTTCCTCAGGGGTTAGCCTTGTGTGTCCAATCTGCATGGGTTCGACCCCCGTTCCATCTGAGTGGGAGACTTGGACAGGAACAGAATAAGTCTGATTCTTAGATTTTGGCTTGAAAACAGGCTCTGTGGATCCAGAAAAAACAGAAGCATTATTTAATGCAGGAGCAGGCACAGAAAAATGTAGACTTTTTTGTCTAGAGCTGCTTTTAGCTCGAAGTCTGTTGTCCAACCTAATGGTTAAACGGATCAATTCCTCTAAACTAGCTGGTTCGTCGAGCGTAGCTAGTTCATCCTTGATATTGTCATTTAGGGCCTTAAAATATGCACTCTTAAGTGCACATTCGTTCCATCCAGAGGGTGCGGCTTTGACCCGGAAGTCGATGGAAAACTCCACCACTGTGGAATTTCCCTGTTTCAAATTTAGTAGAGCTCGGGAGTCAATGGTTTGATCAGAGTCATGGTTAAATACCTGGGAAAATTCAGAGACAAAATCAGAAAAAGTACACCTGAAACTGGCTTCAGAAGAGAACTTTGCCTCCGCCCATTCTAGGGCTCGCCCAGTGAGTTGGGACAAAATAAATGTTATCTTTTTTCTATCAGTTGAAAAACTGCCAGGAGAGTGTTCAAAAATAAGTCGACATTGAAACAAAAGTCCCTTACAATCCTTCTGGTTACCTGAGAATTTTTCAGGGAGACTGGGTCTGAATTCAGGAGATGACGTCACGACCGGTGACCTCGGAGGCGGAAGTGGATCCGGAACTGGACGTGCCGCTGATGTGGCGTTAGCATTGCCCATGTAGCTAGCATATGTTTGAAGCATTTGGTTCTGGTATTCAATCATGGTATGTAACTCACGGAGGGTTTGCGAATGTCCATGGATCTGAGCATCTTGCTCCTCAAGCCTCCGACGGAGGTGATCTGCTGGGCCTTGTGTTTGGCCGCAGTGTTCTGTCATGATGGGTCTAAAGCTTCAAGCCCATATGCAGAACATAACGGAGGCTGGGTAAAAAGTTTAACACAGTTTATTTGGTTGCACAAAACACAAGATCATAAACTGGAACTGGAACTGATCAGGGCTGGAACACTGGAGTCTGCAGAGATGATAGTTTGATTAGACAACGGAGTGATGAGTTTTATGAGTCCTTGTTTACTCAGCAGAATACCTTGAGGGTGTCCGGGCTTCTCCTTGAGAGAGAAGGAACTGTTGGGTCCAGAGACTGTTTGTTCATCAGAGTCCAAGAGTAGCTGCAGCATCTTGCTTCTGACTTTGAAGGCAGACCTTGATCTGAGTTTCTGGCTCTTAGCCAAGAGCAGCAGGGGAGTCCACAAAGGAATCTTCAGGTTTGGCTCACGAGGGCAATCTCGGCAGGTTAAGCTCATCCAGAGCCTCAGGTAGAGACAGGTTTCCTGTGAGGCAAAAACAAGGAAGAATTAGGATCAAGATCTCACTCAAGGGACAGCAAAGATTCTAGGTTCTAGGCTCAGGTCGCTAACCAAACTAGGTCAACACTGCGGCGTCGAAGCAAGGTCTGGCAGCTGGTTATATAGGGCAGGTTTCTGACGAGGAGATGCACCTCAGGTGTGCTGGAAGACTCCAGCCCTTGGAGAACCACGGTGCACTCTGCTGGAGGAAGGTGGTACAGCTCCAGATCCCAACACCTGTGGAGGCCTTGGCTGAAATGGGGGGTTGCAGAAATTCCACAGCTCTTTCTTCACCAAAGCTGCGGCTTCTTCTCCCGTCATCATGTCAAGATGGAACATGGACACTGGTTCCCAATGTCTAAGAACCATGATCATGGCATATGGCACAACAGGAGTTATATTCATGTTAGGCAAACACAGTGTCCTGTTTATTTTTTATTTGTTTTAATAAAGGCTCTTTATGATTTTATTTATTCTATAATTAGGAAAATCTTGTATTGTGCCTAAGCAGTGGAGGATGATATATTCAAAATACTTTCCCTTCATTTTTTTTTTTTTTTTTTTGCAAGTTATGCTCTAAATTACATGCTCTACATGCTCCCTCTTGCTCAGTTAATAAAAAACAACAACATCAGCTACCATAACTATGCTGACGACACACAGCTTTACATCACCATGTCACCAGGTGACTATGAACCAATTCAAGCACTGAGGAAATGCTTAGAAGAAATCAAAGCCTGAATGTGCCATAATTTTCTTCAACTGAATAAAAACAAAACTGAAGTAATAATCTTTGGACCAATAGAGGAGAGATCTAAAGTTAGCACACAGCTTCAGTCGCTTCAGCTAGTAAATACTGATCAAGCCCGAAATCTAGGTGTAGTGCTGGATTCAGACTTGAACCTCCAAAAGCATTTAAAGACAATTACAATGTCGGCTTTCTATCACCTGAAGAACATTTCCAGGATTAAAGGACTAATGTCTCAGCATGATCTGGAAAAACTAATCCATGCGTTTATTTTTAGTCCAATTGATTACTGCAACGGTGTTTTCACAGGTCTGCCTAAAAAGTGGATCAGACAGCTGCAGCTGATCCAGAACGCTGCTGCCCGTGTCCTCACTAAGACTAAGAAAGTAGAGCACATCACCCCAGTTCTAAAGTCCTTACACTGGCTCCCTGTATCTCAGAGATAAGACTTTAAAATACTTCTGTTAGTCTATAAATCTCTAAATGGCTTAGCACCTAAATACATCACAGACTTGCTATCAGTGTATCAACCCTCCAGACCACTCAGGTCTTCTGGCTCCAGCCTGCTCTGCATACCTAGAACCAGAACTAAACATGGAGAAGCAGCATTTAGTTCCTACGCTCCACTTATCTGGAACAAACTTCCAGAAAACTGTAAAAGTGCGGAAAGCCTGAGTTCCTTTAAATCAAGACTAAAAACACATTTGTTTAGGATTGCCTTCGACTGTTCTAGCTAAACAGTTCAGCTAAAACATATTTTCTTTAATCCAACTGTTTTTAATATTCTTTTTTTGTTTCTGCATTTTTTATTTTATTTTATTTATTTATTTATTTATTTATTTATTTATTTATTTATTTATTTATTTATTTATTTATTTATTATTTATTTTTTCCTACTTGCTTTGATTCTGTTTTATCTTCCTGTATTTTAATCATGTAAAGCACTTTGCATTGTCTTTGTACTGAATTGTGCTATACAAATAAATTTGCCTTGCCTTGTTGCCTAAATTGAAATTATTTTAAAGAAGTTTTGTTATAATGACTCAGCTATTTCACAGTGGATGTTAATTATTATTTTATTAGAAGCTGATGTCCTCAACAACCATAGATGAAAGGTTAAAAGACTTGTAACAGACTTTTTAGACAGGTTTTTCACTCAATGTGTCATTTCTGTTTTGCCAGGAGCTAATTCTCAAATATGCATTAAAACTGTAAAACTTGTCTTTTTAGAAACAAAACAAGGAGTTGATCAGTACATCCCCATAGAAGAGAGAATGGACTGGCTGGATTCTCGAGATCACTGCAGAAAGAAATACACGGACCTGGTCAGCTTGAGGAATGATGCGGAGTATCAGATTGTTCAGAATATGTCTCAGGGAAAGGAGTTGTTTGTCGGTCTCTTCAGAGACTCATGGGAATGGTCAGACATGTCAGACTCCTCATTTAGGTACTGGCGGTATCGACAGGAGTATATTCGTAAAAGTTCAGAGGACTGTGTTGCTCTTTTAAAGACGCAATCTGGTAAATGGGGATCTAAGATATGTACAGAAGCACATCCATTCCTCTGCAAATGCAGTAAGTATTTTTTTTTTCTTGATCTGTTCGCAAGTTTTAACCATTCACCTTTTGTACATTCTTGCAAATTCAGTTGCTTATAAAGGTGATTTAAAACCAGCTTCAGCTGAAAATTAACCTTAAATATAACCCTGGAGAGGAGACTTAAGATCAGCCATCAATGCAGAAATTATTTCTTTTTTCCCTTCTATTCTATCTCAGATGTCTTAAAATACCCGTTATATTGGAGTTATCATAATGCAGAAGTATTGAGCAAACCTTAGTTATTTTTGGCCATATTTCCTCTGTTAAGGTGACAGTTATCAACCCAGTCTTTTCAGAACTCTCGTTGTTTTCTTGATGCAAGCTCATCATCTGAAACTATTTACATTATTACAACTTTATTTAGTTAACAATATTTAACTACTTTAGGTTTAAATCTATGCTATGGAGAAGTAAAAATAAGGTGTTTTTCATTTTTGCTCTGTTGAAGAAAACAACCTGCGGTTCATAAAACTGAGAATCAGCCAAAGCGGCTCAACATTGGATCTAAATGACCATGCAGTGCAAAACAGCATCTTGGAGCAAGTAAGTCTTTAGACTCATCTGTTTAATCATCTTTGTTCATCCATTGACAAAAATACCGAATGATGTTTCCTCCTAAACCGATTACACTTCAGACAAAGCGTTCAAATTTTATATTCATCAAAGTGTTTGAATCATTAAATGAAAACAAAACCATCAGGCATCATTGAAATTTCTTTCCTGAGCTACAGTTTAAGCCCAAACTAGAAATCAATATGGTCAAAGAAGAAAGAAATGTTTTGTAATTAAATAGCCAAAAATTGCGAGAGGAAAATGAAAAATGAGAGTCAGCTAAAAGCCTCTGCTGTTAAGATTCATTTAAAGTTAAGGTCCAAATCCTTGTGTCTTTAAATCTTTTTTTCCATATTTATCCTTCAAAAGGTGCAGATTACCATACATTTAGACTTTGCAGATTAGTGAGTCAGCAGCTTCTTTCATTATACTCTACTGTCCTTTGAGAAATATGAGGTTTAGGGAATGATTGTTTAAACTGTAGGTATTCTGTGACTCCCCTGATTGGCTATCTATCTAGTTATAGAAAACAAGGCAAGCAACTTTATAAAAAATATCTCTTAGCACTTTTGATCCGCTTTGTTTCTAAAAAGGTTATAATAACAGTGATTTGGGAATCAAGTCCAACACAATGCGCCTCAGGCAACAATATTTTCATATTCTTGCCCTAAATTTCTCATGCATTTTCTCCTATGAGCTCCCTGCGAACGCACCGCATCAGATTTTTTTAAAAGTCCTTGACTTCACTTAATGGTCATGAATGATTCTTGTAAACCTGATGCAGTCCAAATAATTGTCTTTTAAGATAATTTCTGCAAATCTGCATAATTACCAAACCAATAATTCCATATAAGAGTACACATTCATTCATGAATAGGGCATAGAGAATGAAGAAGAAAAACTTTACTGGTTTGGAGATCAAGGTGCTGCTGACTGAAGGCTGAGCAGCAGGATTAAAGGATAAATAAAAGCCAAGCAGTGGAGAATAGGTCACAAGAGCTTTCAATGACGTGGTTACAGTGTTACAGAAGTCAAAATAATAAAAATAGTTTGATCTGAAAACAGTCAATTAAAACTAATGAAGGAGGCAAGTGGTGCAACATATGTAAATGCTTTATACGAGTTCACCATGAATCAACAGACAACATCCTGGACAATCTCCTTCTAATGCACGTCATCAGGCTTTACATATTAACCCTCTGTGTGAAATTCTAACTATAGAGTAGAATAAAATGTTTTATAATGAAAATATTATCGTACTTCTAACAGAAGAAATGAGAGCTTCTCATGAACATAGAGCAGTTTCCCCGTAATGAAGACAAGTGATGTGTAAAACATATTTTAGCTGTGTCTGAATCCGAAGCAGAGTGAGCTGGGTAGATTATTCAGTATCTTGTAATTGTGAGCCCAGTTTTATTTGTTCTAAATCTGGCTAGAAGGAGGGGTGTGTGCAAGGCAGCAGTCCTTCTTGAAACACTACACTAGAAAAAATATCTAGAAATAAGTAAAACTATCTTAAATTAAATGCATTTACCCTTAATTTGAGTAGGTAAATGAGATAGTTTGCCAATGGAATGAGTATTTTTACTTTAAAATAAGATAATTAGATAATATGCACTTGAAATAAGACAATGCCATTGGGTTTTCTTATTTTAAGTGTAAATTGTCTTGTTCCATTGGCAAAAGGTCTCTTTTACCTCCCCAATCCAAGAGAAAATGCACTTATTTTAAGAAAAAATGACTTATCTAGAATTCTATTTTTTCCAGTGTAGCCCCAAAAATGCATGAAAAAAAAAAAAAAAAAAAAAAAAATTTTAACATGATTTGGTCCATATGGCATCATATGGACTCAGATGATCCCCCTAAAGGAAGCGTGTACGTTAACTAATTTGAGTGCAACAATTCAAGAAACATTTTTGCTGTAATTAACAACAATGTAAATATATTTTTTCCCTAGATAAGGCTGAAAGCAAGTGAGAACATAACTGGAAATTTGACTCTACGGTGGAAAACTAACTCGGATGGAAAAGTTTTTACCAAGGAACCTGCTGTTGATGACCCATAATAAAGGAGAAGATGTGCAAAAGGAATGGATCTCCATGAAAAGCTTTGTAAATTTAACACAAAATAGAAGTTAACCTACAAATGATTTGTCATAGAAACTTGATAAAATAACAGCTTGATAAAATCAAAGAGTACTTTTTAATAAAGTTTGATGTTTTTGCTTTTGTCTTTTTAGAACTAAACTAATGTTAATTTACTATGAAACATATTTAGATGTATATCTTCAATGTTCATTAAAACATTTTAGAAGTGGAATCAATAAAATCAGGGTTATAACCATTGTCTAGAGCAGGGGCGTGCATACATAGACACTAGGTGGTGCTAAAGCACTAGGAAGTTTGCCCTTTATCAAAGAAAATGCCCTTTTGAAACTCGTTTTTTTTTTTTATTATTATTAATATTAATAAGATTTTACTGAGGTCGGTTTTGAAATGATCTTTTGAAAACCTGAGCCATTAAAAACGACTGAAACAATGCCCCGAAATGAGCCACCTACTTGCGCACAAACGACCCTCTCTCACTTCCTTTGTCACGTGACCTCGCTCGGTCGCCCGCAGGGCATGCCAGGTGTGCAGCATCATAGCGTCTTCAGATAGCAGGAACGGTCGCTGACAGGCTGCTTCTCCCGTGCCCCATTAGCCAGGTAATATACAGATCAAGCTAAATCATTTTGTTGTGCATTAAAATGTCTCATTCAGCAGCACCAAACATGCATTTTTGCCGAGTGGTCACCTGATAAACTAGTTGTCTCCTTGTAAGATGCTATTTTACTTTTTATATTTTATATCCATATTTTTATCTTAAGTGTATATATTAGTCTATTTTATTGTATGCCGTATACCCACAGTTTTTAGATATTTTTATAATTTTATTTACCTATTCTATATTATATGTTTCATGTTGCATGATTGTACCACAAAAAATTCCTAGTTTGTGAACTCTTCACTAACAATGGCAATAAACCTGATTCTGATTCTGAAAGTTTTACACTGTAGCCCAAGTCAATGACAGATAACGTGAGGACGACCACATAGGCTACAAATAATTTTGGTAGAGTTTGCAATTGCAAATACGGAAGAGGATTAGGGCCACTGGAAAAAAAAAATTAACTGATTTTTACATTTTATTTCAGTTTAGTATGGGAAAAAAGTCAGAATTCTGACTTTAATCTCAGAATTCTGTTGTATAGGTTTTGTTAGGCAACATAAATTAACACATTTTGGTCTCTTTATTGTCTTAATTGTATATTGATTTAGTAATTGCAGTACAATGCCAAGAAAGGAGGGTTAATCGCTGTGAAAAATCTTAAAAGCTGTTCACATTTTATTTTTAAGTGGTTTGTGAAGCAGGTATTAAAATAGCTATTATTTTACAGGCTACCATAAGTCATATCCACGTGACAAGACTTCCAGTCATGTTGCCGTAATAGCCCATTATTTAAACTAATGTGGCATATTTGTTAAAGCTATTATTATAATTATTATTATTATTATTGTCATGATGGTTATTATTATTATATTGTAGCCAGTCACAGCAGGGAAGCTCTATACCATCAACATCTACCAGGACAGGAGATGAGGAAGAGTTCAGGGAAGACACAGAGACAAAAAAGACCAGGATGAGGGAGAACAGCAGGATGAGGGAGAACAGCAGGATGAGGGAGAACAGCAGGATGAGGGAGAGCAGATGGATGAGGGAAAACGGGGAGATGAGCCAGATGAAAGAAAAAGAAAGATGAGCTTTAGTCTGTTCTGTTGGTGGTGTGACTTTTTTTCATTGAAAACTCACATTTAGAGAATGTTACAAATAAAAGTCAAATTTCATTCAACATGCGTGTATTTCTTTTATAATTAAGTGTTCCACATGCGCTAAAAAGTGCCCCCCCCTCCTGAGCACCTGCCCCCCAAAATGTCTGTGCACGCCTCTGGTCTAGAGAATATGCTTTCTCATAATCAGTTCTGTAATTCTGACCAGTTTCATGCATGTTTCTACTGGTGATTTTAATCATTTAATTTCATTGATGAGCTGCCAGCTTAATCTCCCTATTGTTAGATTTAAATCAGGCTTTTTCCAGACCGTAGTGACGAAACCTGTTAAAGTTTTATCATTTCTAACTCAAACATTAAAGTAGCTTGGTTGCCTGGTCTGACCTCTGTTAATCACCTTTCTATGTGCAAGTAAAGCAGATAAAAGAACAAACCATTAATTACAGTCTGAATGAATCATGTTTATTTTAAGGTTTATCCATCGTATTACCATTGTAATTTGGTACTGAGCAGCACTGTAAATGCTGTCGACTGTATATAGTCTGATCCTTGTCTTATTTTAAACTGTTTATGGTGAAGGGTGTAATTTTACTGTGTGGGTTGCAATTTTACTAATTTTATTTATATTATTGTGTTTTATTAGGGTTAGGGTTAACTTAACTTACTTTATATTTACGTACTTAGAATCTTATTTTTCTCTCTCTGTAAACGGTTGCTCTGCAAGAAAAGAATTTCCCGTAAGGGATTAATAAAGTTATTCTGATTCTGATAGTTAATCAGAAATGCATATTTATTCACTAGTTAATAACTTGATTAGTAATGTTTGATCTCTAACTGTATTTATTTGTTCTTTAGAGAAAGGCGTCAATAAATAGAATCTCATTTATGTTTTTCTCTCTTTCTCTTCTTAAAAAAAATGATTGAATATATTTTTGTTGTTCATAATTTAGATTCCTTTTTTTAATAAACTGTTGGGAAAAAACATTAAAATTCACAAGACCAAGTGTAATATGGGCAGAAAAACAAAATATTGCTGGTAGAACAGCTACAGAAAAACAAAGAACAAAAAAGTTGGTGAAGATTTTCAGTCATCCAGGTCATAGTCATTACAAATAAAGGTTAACAAAACAAACCACTTCTATATTGAGAAAGCTTTCTGGATGGGAAGCGAAACATCTTTAAACTAGGAAACAAAGTCCAGTGGATTGTTTTTTTTACCCTTTTTTTTGGACCGATCAAAACAGCGCAATTTTGTATAGTTTGGAGTAACATACGAACATTTGATTAACCTTTGCTGAGAAAAACAGAAACGTTCAAGAAAAAGTGTCAAAACTAGTGTGACTTTGACCAAACTGCTTAAATGAAGAAAAAAACACTGTCAAACCTCTGGCACTATTTGATGCCAATATTTTAAATTAATATCGCTCATGCTTCATTAAAGTGAGCACAGATGTTTTAATAAATTAGTCATGATACATTTTTAACAGGTACTCCCCTAGAAATATTAAATAAAGAAAAAAATATATATAGAAGGTTGTTTTTTTTTTTCTCACTGTTTTTGTTACTGTTTATTACTTTCTGTTTGGACAGTGTGTTTGCTTCTCTGATTGTATTCAAATCACGCTTCCTTCAAATGGAAAACACATGTAAAACTGAAGTTGCATCAAGAAGTAACAAGAAGTCACATGTTCACCATTTCCTTTACATGGGCTTAAGTCACTGCTCACTAAGTGCCATTGACCTGAAAAATCAATCATGTGATATATCTTAAATTAAGCTAATACTTGGGTCAAACCTTGCATAGTGTTGCTTTACCTTGTTCCCGTATAATTTCTTTAACTTCTTTGTTCTGTTTTTCTTTGTTCATTTTTATGTGAGGTTTATTGATCAAGTCAAAATCAATGAGATGATTGTAGATTTCAGGAGAAACAGGAGGTCAAAAACTATTACGATCATGGGAGAAGAGGCGGATGTGAAGAAGTAGTAATGTTTCCTAAAAATAACACAACTGTGTTAATTGTGTCTAGTAGTACAGACTAGACTGTAATTTTTGATGAAGCTTAGATCCTTCAGTGTTTGAAGCAAGATGCTGCATTCTATCAGTCTCTATAAGTGAAGAGGTTGAGATCCTCCGTCATCATGTACTGGAATAGCAGTATCAGAGCAAATGACTGAAAGAAGGTTAACAAGCTAATTCAGAAGGTCAGCTCTGTTCTGAAAACCTCTTATATAATAAAGAAAATTTCATCATAAAATGTACATTAAGAAAAACCCTGAGCATCTTCTTGAGAAGATTGTTAATCACCAACACCAACAGACCGTCTTTGTTAAGATTCAGAATGAGGACCCAGATACAACCAGAACACAACAGGAAATAACTTTAAAAGATTTATTGAAGAAATACTGCAGGTTATTCAGGATCAGGGGAGCTAGAGCCTGTGGAGGGGAGAGAAAAGGTTAGTGGCTGAGATTGATTAAAAGTTCAAACTGCTAAGCCACTAACTGTCCTTAATATCCAGGCGGGGTGTCTTGGTTCCAGAAAACTTTGGTTCCTTGACAGTTAATTCTCTCTGAGGCTTGGCAGACAATCTTGGTCAAAGGAGGTCCAAGGTCAGAGCCAGGTGATCAGATTTTGAGAGAATCCAAAACAGAATCCAGGGACAAGGTCAGGGCACAGAAACAGGTCAGGGATCCAGGCGGCACAAAAAACAGATCCAACGAGGGCTAGGCAGGCTAAAAAAATCAGGAGGCAGAAACAGGTCAGGATCAGGTAGACAAACAGAAAAATGCTGGATGTTTACTAACCAAGGCTTTCAGGCAATCTGGCACTGTCAACTAGTCAGAGGCCTGCTTAAGAAGGCTGGCAAACAGGTGAGAGGAATCAGTGGCAATTAGGCTGAGCAGTAGCAGCACAGGAGGGCCAAATGCACAGAGCAGAAGGGGGAGGGGAATGAAAACAAATACTAGTTGACAGGCCAGAAACATAACAGTCTTCAGTCAAAGGATTTACCAGATTTTCAGTATAAAGACAGAAGATATTTCCTGACTAGAGCGATTAACATCTAGAGCAACTTGCTGAAGAAAAGCCTATAAAATTTAAGGTCAAAGTGGAAAACCCCTCCAAAGACGGTAGAGAAAGACCGAGCAAGGATCCTGTGGGAGTTCCAGATACAGACGGACCGAATGGTAATGGCTAACCAACCGGACATTGTGGTGGTGGACAAAAAGCAGAGGAAAGCCATTGTGGTTGACATAGCAACCA